ACTGTGGGAGGGGGGGCGCACCCCCAGGGATCTCTCTTAGATCCGCTTCTGCACTCCTGCACAGCAAAGGTGAAAAAATATATATAACTAAAAGACTGATTTTTTGGCAAATTAGCACTGATTTTTTAATGTACCTGCGCATGACCGTCCATCACCAGAGTACCCCGGATTACACTGACATGTGTATGATCCCAATGTATTTGTACAGCTTGCATTGAAATGACAAACGTGCACACCAGATGAGCACTCATTTATATCTAAAAATTGAAAGAATGTTTCCAACAGTCCGTTTTAAWGACAAATGGCCAGAGTAATGAAAGACGGTTAGCCATTTAAATAAAAAATAACAATATTCTACCAATGTATAGCAGAGCATTATGATAGGCTTTTAGCACTTAAGTGTACAAACGCAAAACTGTGTMCGCGTTCAGAAGCAATCATGCGCAACTGTAAGTCGCACCATTCCARCCATTCCTGTGCGGAAAGTATTCTGGCACAGGAGGAAGGAAGAAACGCAGGCGCTGGGTAACGAGAATACAAAAGCAAGCATCCATATCATTAAGCTGCCCTCGCGTTCAAGTAGTATTAAAAAAAAAAGAAATTAATAAGATGATAAAACACGATAAAAGATGTAAATATAAAATATCTATAATATAATTTAGAATAGATCGACGTACCTGAACACGAACGTCCGTCTCCTTGRTAGCCTGGTTTACATTGGCAATAATATGAGCCAACGGTATTGGTACAGTGAGCATCTCTATGRCAACCATGCAAACCCAATGCACACTCATCGATATCTGTAGAAACAGCATTTAAATATTGATCGTTTGTCAGAAATACGTCAAAGTACGGTGTCACACGTGTTTCTTAATTTAACGTTAGTTATACAGAATCGGGTCGTTGTCACAGAGAAAAGGAAAAACACTACAAACTGCTATAAAATACTAGAAAAGAAAGTGCGCAGACCAAACTAACTTGTACTTTTAGTACAAGTAACGTTTTTTTTGACCGCAGAATGCCTGATATGAAATCTCAATCATTGAACATCAAGTACCATTTTGACAATTGTTTCCTGTAAATCCAGCTTTACAATTGCATTGGTAGTCTTGTCTGTCTTCCTTGATACTACAATCGCCGCCATTTTGACACGGTTTGTCCTCGCAGAGTTCCTAAAAGAAGCTATCTTAGTACTTATTTCTTGAAGCATGCTGTGTACACAAACTTGGAAAGTGTACRCATAGATATTTCATTTTTTWAAGTTCAAACCATCCCTYTTTCGAGTTCGCRCGCGCTACAGATGATATATGGTGAACTGCAAGATTGGAAGAGGTGGCGGTTTTTAACAAACTTATGTACAATTAAAATGTCTATATTGTAGCTATGGTTGATAACTGGTTTAAAATAAATAAAATAACTTGCCTTTTCTCCATAAATGTATCCCAATATTTGTAAAAGCTCTTTTGTTTTCGCTCTTTTTCCGTTCATATAACAATCCCCAGTCATTTCATTGTAGTTAAATGACTTGTATTCTCCATTAAGTAGGCAATGGGCACAGTCAAAAACATCAGTAGCTTTCCTTTGGTTGAAGGAACGGCTATTAAGTTTATGGTTTTCAGTAGTTACAAACATTGTGACTCGATGTTTTTCGTTCTGATGGCCATTGGATATTACTAAGTTTGATTGAACAAACAGGCACATGAGTAAAATGATGATTGCGTTAGCCATAGTCTTCCGCCTAGAACGAAATGAAATAGCTACTTTTAACCAATGAAAATAAATGTTAGATTCACCTATCTTTTCGTTTTTATTTCAAATATCAAAAGACCGACCACGACACTGACGTCCTTCGTCGATGGGTAGTGCACGCGAACGAAGTCCACTCTCAGGTTAATTGCATGGAAACGTACTATCCCACCGCGAAACGCTCAGTAAAATTGGAATATTACCAAAGCAAGTACTTGTACTGTTAATATTTTTTTCGTTTCCAGACGAACATTTTGAAGACTTTTTGCAGAAACTTTTGTTTTTACTTATGGTTAAAAATGTACACGAATTATAGCAATATATTATAAGACGTAGTCACGATGCTTAACATCATTTTTCTACCTACCTTATGTATATAAATATGGGATAACTCAATTCAACAAGAAGTAGAAGCAAAATTTAAGAATGAAATAATGTGCTTTTAAACTCATAATCAGTCTTGACTGAGAGAGCTYAATTTTCTTAGTAACGCTGCAATTCACTAATGATGAGTTGAATTTGCTATTTGAGACTTCATTTAATTTCTTTGACGTTATAAGTTATAAAGTAATAAATATTTAATCATTCTCTCGCAATTAAGTTAGAATGGACATTCATTTTAATTAAATTTTAACATAGTTTTGCTATCAGCTTTCAAGGCATCGTATATCATCCAAAAAAAGTAGATTTACCAATGATTCCCATGGTGCACAAAGTAATGACATCACATCCCTTGTCTATCAGCCCTAACCGCGTCTATTAATTGACGTTAACGTCTCTTTAATTTGGACTTAATCAAGGCTGCAACTAAAGATTACAGTGCTTTTCACTAAAACGGAATCCTGAGAGTACATTTAGATGCACTGCTGTTTGTGCATTTTAATTCACTTTTTTACCTTTATTTAGTATTTTAAACATGATTGTGCATTGTTTTGCTCATTTCTTATTCTTTCCCTCATCCTAAAAATTATAGGTTTCGCGTTTGGTTTTGCTATTTTGCTGTTTTTGTTTTTGCTTTTTCTTAAAGTCTTCAGTTTTCCTCTTATTTGGACACTTCTTTCTAAACAAGCCGTAAATTACATATATAATTTTAAAGAAAGCAAAATAATATTAAAAAACAATTAGATTCAGAATGTTTTCTCTATAACACCTCAGCTAACACAGGTGCCAGTATTTAAGCCTGTTCGTTTTTCGTATCCTTTTTAATTTGTTGTGTGATTTGCATAGGATTAAATTTCCCTGGCCCAGCCTTAGCATTATATTTGTTTTTCCTGATGATTTAATACTTTAACTCTATCTAGTTAGTATCCATCTTGGTTAGTGAAAAGTTGCGGTTTCTGGTGTAAATCAATTGGCATTTATGAATTATGATAATAATTTCGCCTAACTGAACAAAATATACCAATGTCATTACAGTGGGACAAATTCCTGCGACAATTATTAGTAGATTAGACGCCACAAAAGATCGATGTTTTCTACCCACAAATCTCTTGCATTTTTGCAGGTGTTACGTACATAATAAATAGAGGATAAAACATGGGCGCGCGGAAATATGGATTCTATCTTCGATTGCAGTTGAAAAGATCTCTCAGATTTTTTTCTTACTTCCACTATATAGAGAAACCTCGAATGTGTGTKTTTTTTTTYACTATTGAAAATACACCAGTAATTATATTGCGTTGGTGATCAACGACATATYCTATAAGAGAAAGTAAGTTTCACAAAATACTTTGTCGCGTGGTCTTYCTGTGGTGTTCTAATAATGAACATAAAACGTTAACCAGTTCATTATGACGTCATAAACGCTCGTTGAAAACTGATTAATCCCACTTCAACATTGCTAACAATACAGATACKGWCCAAGGATGGAAAATTTACCAACGTATTTGATACAAAAGAATTATCAGAAAGGTAAAGCCATTGTGTGTTTTATAGCCATCGTGATAAATAAGTAGCATAATTCTAAATTCCAGATTTAAAAAATGTGAAGTCACAAAATCGAAAAATCATTAGCAAAAGTGTCAACA